GACAAAAAAATTAATTTTTATTTTTTTAATTACCCAACCGCAACCGCAAACCCTCGAGGAAAGAAGTTTTTGGATTTGAGAGGTTTGGAGCGATACAAAACAGTATAAAGCGTTTCCCATAATTGTTGTCAAACGCCAACAACCGCTACCACCCGCTACCATCCGCTGCGTTTGCGGATGGTAGCGGATGAACCAATCAACCCCTTATTTTGATAAGAAAATTTTCATCGATTCATCGCTCATCTTCATATTAGATACCCAATATTCTCTTTTGTTTATAAGATTTGCACTTGCTCTTAAGTATGCGTTAGAAATTAAAAACACTTGAAATCATTAACCAAATTTTGTGTTGTATGTACAACTTACACGTAGCTAAGCTCAAGAATCATTAAAATTTGTGACCAGACCAAGAAACCTTAAAGTCAAGATAGATAACTACTTACACAAAACATGTGTAACGAATAGATCGAGTTGGTTACTTATAACTTGTAAGCTTCAGAATAACAAAACGTGGTGAAATGGGTGGTCTAATATATATTTATGTTTAGATGGGTCTCTCATGTGACAACAATTTTCGAACTTTAAATGGTTGAACAGTAATATGAGCCCTACACATAATAACTTTTCTCCGGTTAAGTATCTTTATTTGTTTCTTGTTTCCAGCTCTTTTCCATTACATTTTTAGTTACCATGGCCTTTTTTACCGCATTTAAAGATGCTAAAATTATTACCTGGATAGTGGATACATTTTTTTAACATGGATAACAATTATAGAAGGAGAAACATATATATTTTGAAATTGGGTTTATGTCGAAAAAATCTGAGATTTCAATGGGCCAAACCGAGACTGACTTTTATAGTCGTGTAGGATAAAGTTGGATTTTGAACTTCGATTGTAAGTTTGTACTCTACTGGTATTCCTAAAATGTCTAAAAAATCTTGGTCCCACTTCCCGAATTCCAAAGATAACAAAGGCAAATCAAACTCTGTATTTTTATGTGTGATTGAGATAGAGTTTGCATAAACTTGTAGTGTTTTTCACGGAATCATCAATTAACGTAATTATCACCCTCGAACCGAAATTAATCTAATGAGTAATGAGCTATTCTTGTAAAATTATACACAAAGCGAAAATAAAATTTTACCTTTTAATTAAATAACATGGACGTAATATGAATAGAAGCAAGACGTAATAAATCACGTGGATCTCATGTGAACACATTTAACTCCAAATATTTCCGACGTTTCCAAAAACAAAACAAAAACCATTAAATAATGACCCAAAAGATAACAGTCGCAAAGTTGCA